GCAATATTCGAAGACAATACGAACCAGATAATGAAGCTATGTAAATTTCATTACGTTGTTGATCACGATCAGAATGTGAAAATACTTGAAATTAATGAAAATGAATTATTGATTTCATCCTTTAAATCAGGAGAATGGCATATGAAATGTTCTGGAAAACCATCGGTACAAGTACATAGTTGTCAATTGTGCAAAATTCAATTACCCTGTGAGTGCGATTTATTAATAGGAGATATTTACATACCAGAGAGAATTGGATGCAATGAAAGCTTATTGTCACTCAACTATTCATACCCCATCAATATACCTTATGTACATTATTTCTTTGGTTAAGAGAGTGTCAATGATTTATCAGGGAAAACTTTTGATACTGTTGGGTCACGTGCTGAACAGCCTAACTATACGATTTATGAACATCAATGGGACAGTTATTTGAGAACTGACCGAAAAGCTAAAATAAATTTAGAAGAGCTAGCGGCGAGCTTGAGGAATGATAAACCGATATATTTTGACAAATCTGATCAGTTGGCTTATGAAGGTTTTAATTGGAATTTTGGTATCAACATGAATCAGATTATATTATATTGTGTTTTTATTTTGACCGTAGTGGCAATCAGCATAGGTTTAATAGCTATGTATCGCATACGTAAAATATTATTAATACTAGCGGCCTTAAATGTCGGGAAAGTCGAAGCGCGGAATTTTGGAACTATGCCAGTCGTTGAAAGTGAGAGCTACACCTCAAGTGCAGGTTACTATGACCATCTAGGAATCATAAACGTATGGAACGCTATAATGTTAACCATACTCTCTGGTTATGTGTTAGTAAAGCTTACTATTTTGAGTTATAAATTCTTCGGGAAGTATATTCAAAGAAAGGAAGAGAGTAACGGGGTTAAATTAATAATTGAATTGAATTCTGTTAATCATCGTGTACAAGCATGTGTACATCAGTTGCAGGTAGACTACGCCAGGGTTCAATTGGTGCAAAGGGGAGTGATATCCAGGGTCAGCGCCTGTCATACTTTGTTTAGGAGTTATTTAGATATAGAATGGGGACCAATCAAATTTTTATTGGACGATCAGGAAATGAACTTAGAGTTGCCAAGACTGGTCCCTTTACCATATGTAAACAGAAGGGTGATATCCCAGTTACTATCAGAACCTTATGTAATTCGGTTTTACTGTGAAACTGAAAGGGGTATATATGTTTTAGTTCCCAGGGAAAGAATCGGAGTCTAATTGAGTGTCGTTTGTCTTTATTTCAGTGGCTCAGGCTCAGATCAATCAACAGATGTATCCTAAAACCACTATAAACGTGGCCACTCAAACGGAGGCCCCAGTTGAAACGGAAGACCGGCGGCAGCCAAATCCTCACCATGAGAACCAGGAAGCCCAAGAGCCAAGGGCGAAACGCCACCTGTCCACGGACATAAGGAGTTTAACAACACAATCCATTGTCACCAAAACTACGGACACGACTTATTAGGACCCAAAAACTAACTAAACCTCACCGTATTTGGAACTTTAAAAAAAAAAATCATTCAAACCACGCTACAGATAACAAACAATAAACTTATCAAAATTGATTTAGGACTAGGAAGGATATGATACAGCGACTATATTTTTGGCGACTTAAAGAAAGGGAAAAATAAATTGAAAAACCTCATGACTCCTAAAATTTTGTTTTGTGATTTGTTTAAAGGAAAAACATAGTTTCTGGTTGCCTGAAAAATTCATTTAGGTTGTCTCTATGGTTGATTGCGAAGATTCCTAGCTAGGGGGAAAATCTCATGTTTTAAATAAAAACTTACCCTTACAGCTAGCTTATAAAGTACTCCTTTGAAGTTATTAAACCTCCTATGATAAAAGTGTTTTCTCCAGACAATGTGTGATGAAAACTCTATCTAAGAGTAAAACCGTTTGAAATAAGTCCTTAGGTGCTGATCTCTGAGGTATCACAGTTTCTCCAACTTTGAAAACTACTCGAATAAATATACATTGTAAAGATGGCGTAGTCTATTCATGTGTGAATAATGTTAAATGTGTTAAACTCTGCTTCGAAGCTTGTAGATGATACCCATCCTTTAACGCTTATAACCCTGTGGGTTTGCTAGTACTAGCGGATTTGAAAGTCAATACCCTCCGGGGGAAACAATCCTGTACGCAGAAGAGACCCTTCCTCTAGTTGCTTATTACGTAATGATTAAGATGTAAATATTCAACTGATCTAAAACCTATTTATTCGTATTTATTAACTAATTGATTGATTGATTAAGATGTAAATAATCAATTGATCCAAGCATATTTATTCACATATATTTACCCATATTTAACCACATATATATAACCATATTAAATCACATATTTATCATATTGAGTAATTGAGGTAAATTAAAGTGTACCAGAACAGGGTACGGTAGATGTCGGGGATTTAAGGGATTGAACAGTGACATCTATGAATAAGGCGTATAATTATACATTGTACATATCATCATCATCATCATCACAATCAATATATATTCATGAAGTGTGATTGTTTAATATAATTAATATATAATATACTAATGTTCCGAGCTGAGAAGATGCAAGGATCAGACGAGGATCGACCCATGGTTACCGGGGAACTATGTGAAACTGAGGAAGCATACGCTGGGAAATACCTGAGCGGACGTCGGAGCCGGATGGGCAATTATGCTGATCGTGCTCAACTATCTAGTGAGGGATGATCGAGTGATCCTGCTGTTGATGATGAAATGCTGTTCCACTTATTCCAAGACGCACAGACACAAAGACATTTCTTTGGACATTAAAATTCAAAATTCAAATGTTATGAACTCTTGAGTATGGAAGTCATCCTGGTCTTTCACTACATTCATTGGAACCAGGCTCACGTCAACCTAATGGGTTGTTGCGCGACCGGAATGTAGTTGTATACAAAATATGTGAATCAGTAAATTAAAGCTATCTTAAAATTTCAATTTAAACCACAGACGAGACGTCTGTAGTTCAAGTGTGGGGGGTTGTTACAACCCGCTTTTCAGATTAATTAGTAATCATAATTAATTAATCAATTAATAATTTATATAAATTAATGTAATAATTATCCAAGTGTCTACAGGTATGAGTAATACAAATATCTTGATGTAAGATCATCTGTCTAGAACTTAACATAACCTAAATGATTTATGACAATAGAATGTACTGTTTCACCTGCAACAGGTTGGAACTGGTTATGTATTTATAGTAACAAAACATGATTTTCTGTCAAAAATATAATATTGATGTTTATTATTATCCAATCAAAATCTAAATACAATTTCAAATATCTGCAAGCCAAGCGTAACTTTAGCCCAAATTATAGCAAGCATAAGCAATACTTTGACAGATTGATCAATGTAGCTCTACCTGTATATAAACAAGTGCCGAATTGCAGTCAAAACATTCGGAAATTGGAATCAATCAAAGGCTTACAAAATTACGGAAGGAAACAGAAACAAAATGGACTTAGAAAATATTCGCTACTTTTGGACTTAGGATATTTCAACAACATTTCGGACTTAGAAAATATTTGGCTGCAACTCGGACTTAGGCACTTGGAATCAGGAACAAAGGAACGGAAAATAAAATCATAGGAACACAACACCTGCTGCGTTAGTTCATTAATAGCCACGACCTGTGAGTACCAGAGACCCACAAGATCCTGGAAACAGCCCTAAGTGATTATCGGTCACGCGTCGCCGGTCACAAAACCCTGAAGTGTAGAAACTTATCCCATTGGACGGTATGGCCCCTCCTCTCTGAAGGGGGACCATTTAGTCCTATGTGGACAAATACTACTTTCTCTGTTCCAGAAGTTACCTAACAAGCAACGACCAAAATTAACTGAAGAAAACAAGGGGAATTTAGACACACCCGGCGAGAGTGAGTAAATTTGATGAAGATTTGGGTCTTAGAAATAAAAATGGGATACGTCAATATATTCTCTATGATAGGAATATTGCAGCTTACTGGAATTTATGTCAATTCTGGGGAATTACGGCAGAATTATGGAATAAACTTCAAATCAGTAGACGGGACATGCGTAAAAACAGGTAGTAGCTTCCACTTGACATTCGGCTTAAATACATCGCTAATGATTCCCAATGAGGTAATACGGCACGCTAATCAAAATTGTGATATGAATGGATTTATCCATAATCATACGTGCTTGCAAATGCAAGCAGTGTTGAGAAATATAATAAGCAAAGTCAATCGCCATAAGGATAATTTGAAAATGATAATGCCGCCCCGTTCAATTTCCGAGCGCAATTTATCAAAAAGAAGCGCTTTATTAGCTCCGATAGGTAAACTTTTTGGTGGTTTCTTAGGACTAGCGACCGAAGACCAATTGAATCAAATGAGAATTCACGTCTCTCGTTTGGAACAATATGGAAATCTTTCGGCAGGAAAATTGAATACCTTACAGAATGAATTGCATGGTTTTATGATATTAACCAATAACAGAACGGGTAATGTATTTAATATGGTACGAAACAATCATTTATCCCTTGAGCAATTGAGAAATTACATTGATAACGTTGATGTTGAATTAAAGAAAAGATCCAAAAATATCGCTGAAATTGATTACAAAATAAACAATTTAGCCGGAACCACTACGGCCATGTTCAAATATATGTCAGAACTTTTATACAATTTGCAGTTGGCTGAAACTGAGTTGTATCGGTTAGTGATTGCACTAGAACGTATTAATACGGGATATATATCTCTCGAATTGATTAATGCCAAAGTACTTGAGCAAGCTTTAAATCGGGTAAAATCAAAATTAAAAGAAAACTACCCCGAGTTTCACATATGACACAAAGACCCGCGATATTATTATACCACGAGATTAACCTCTGGAATATATGAAAATGATCAATTATACGTAACGCTCGAAATTCCCGTAACTTCAATAGATCGGACTTTTGATTTATATGAGATAGATATGTTCCATGTACCAATACCTAAAAACTTAGACAAGACTAATAATTGCAAAAGGAACCATTCTGTTATCCTTGAAAACCAGAACAAGTATTTCGGAATAAGCAAGCAGCGCGACTACTTCTTGGAAATGAGTCAAAGTGAGTATAGGTCATGTCGACAAATCTATGGCGATACTATGCCTGTCCTAAATTTAAGGCCAAAATCTAGAATTACTTGTTTAGCAGCGCTATTCGCTGACAACATGGATCAAATAATCAAGCTATGTAAATTCCATTATGTTGTTGATTTCAAACAAGACGTGAAAATACTTGAACTTAATAAAAATGAATTATTGGTTTCGTCATTTAAATCTGGGGAATGGCACATGAAATGTTCTGGAAAACCATCGGTGCAGGTACATAGTTGCCAATTGTGTAAAATTCAATTGCCATGCGAATGCGATTTACTAATTGGGGATATTTACATACCAGAAAGAATTGGATGCGATGAAAGCTTATTGACGCTCAATTATTCATACCCTATCAATATACCATATGTACATTACCTCTTTGGGAAAGAGAGTGTTAAAGATTTATCAGGGAAAACTTTTGATGCTGTAGAATCACGGGCCAATCAGCCTAACTATACAATTTATGAGCATCAATGGGACAGTTATCTGAGGTCCGATCAAAAAGCTAAAGTAAATTTAGAAGAACTAGCGAAGAGTCTGAAGAATGATAAACCGATATATTTTGACAAATCCGACCAGTTAGCATATGAAGGTTTCAATTGGAATTTCGGTATAAACACGAATCAGATAATGTTATACTGCGCCTTAATATTGACCCTAGTAGGAATCGGAATAGGTTTAATAGCCATGTACCGCATACGCAAAATATTACTAATTATAGCGGCCTTAAACATCAAGAAAGTCGAAGGGCGAAATTTTGGAGCGACGCCAGTTATTCAACCAAGTGGAGGCTATGCCTCTAGTACAGGTTACTATGACCATCTAGAAACAGTTAACATATGGAACTGTGTAATGTTAACCATACTCTCTGGTTATGTGTTAGTAAAGTTCACTATTTTGAGTTATAAATTCTTTGGGAAGTATATTCAAAGAAAAGTAGAAAGTAACGGGGTTAAATTAATAATTGAATTGAATTCCGCTAATCATCGTGTGCAAGCATGTGTACACCAATTACGAGTAGACTACGCCAGGGTTCAACTAGTGCAAAGGGGAGTGATATCTAGAGTCAGCGCCTGTCATACCTTGTTTAAAAGTTATTTAGATATAGAATGGGGACCGATCAAATTTTTATTGGACGATCAGGAAATGAATATAGAATTGCCGAGACTGGTCCCTTTACCATATGTGGAAAGAAGGGTAATATCTCAATTATTATCCGAACCATATGTAATCCGGTTTTACTTCGAAGCTGAAAGGGGGGTATACGTCTTGGTTCCCAGGGAAAGGAATACAGTTTAATGTTTTGATTGAATTATATTTTCAGTGGCACAGGCACAGTTGAAAGCTCCCTATTTCAGAGATGCGTCAACACAAACAGAAGATCACGCCAAGAAAGAACCGGAAAGTGAGGAGAAAGTCCTGCCAGATGCACCTACCGATGGCGAACCCCCCGTCAAAAGGCATCTAACCACCAACTCCACTTATACATATACGCTATCTACCAATAACACTACTGATACCTTATATTAAGGGAAAGGTGCAGGGGCACAGAATGGAATTTAAAATATTTCGGACTAATAAACGTTCGGGAAATAGATAGACCTACTAAAGGAAAATAGAAGAAAATGACATTGTCTTAATTAGGCCCCGATAATTCGCATTGTAATTTGGAAAAAAAATAAAGTAACATTCTATGGGCACCCGAAATCTAAATTTTTGTCTGATAAAGTTATCAGTAACCATGAATCTGCCTGAAGGGGAGTCGAGGATGTGGTCATAGAAAATCAAAATCTCACCTTTTCCCTTTTTCATTTTTCGAAACAAGTCTTTGAGCAATTCGTGCCGAGTCACTCCTTTTGAATAATGTGTGGCAGACTAGGTAGATGATCCGGTCCAAATTGAGCTTATTTAAGATTCCTTTAATTTCCTGCCTTGGAAGTTTTATTGTAACCCCAATAATTTTAGAAGAGAACTGTTCGAACTATATAAAGATGGCGTAGTCTACTCTTGTGTGAAAGGATTTGAATATTATAAACTCTGCTTCGAAGCTTGTAGATGATACCCGTCCTTTAACGCTTATAACCTATGGGTCCGCAGTATCAGCGGGTTTGAAAGTCGATACCCTTCGGGGGAAACAACTCAGTACGCAGAAGAGACTCTACCTCTAGTTGCATATCGCGAATTGATTAAGATGTAAATATTCAACTGATCTAAAACCTATTCATTCATATATATTAACTGATTGATTGATTGATTGATTGATTAATTGATTAAGATGTAAATAATCAATTGATCCAAGCATATTTATTCACATATATTTAACCATATTTAACCACATATATATAACCATATTTAATCACATATTTATCATATTGAGTAATTGAGGTAAATTAAAGTGTACCAGAACAGGGTACGGTAGATGTCGGGGATTTAAGGGATTGAACAGTGACATCTATGAATAAGGCGTATAATTATACATTGTACATATCATCATCATCATCACAATCAATATATATATTCATGAAAGTGTGATTGTTTAATATAATTAATATATAATATACTAATGTTCCGAGCTGAGAAGATGCAAGGATCAGACGAGGATCGACCCATGGTTACCGGGGAACTATGTGAAACTGAGGAAGCATACGCTGGGAAATACCTGAGCGGACGTCGGAGCCGGATGGGCGATTATGCTGATCGTGCTCAACTATCTAGTGAGGGATGATCGAGTGATCCTGCTGTTGATGATGAAATACAGTTCCCCTAATTCCAAGACGCACAGACACAAAGACGATTCCTTGGACATTGAAATTCAACACTAAATTTAAAATTTATGAACTCTTGAGTATGAAAGTCATCCTGGTCTTTCACTGCATTCATTGGAACCAGGCTCACGTCAACCTAATGGGTTGTTGCGCGACCGGAATGTAGTTGTGTACAAAATATGTGAATCCATAAAACAAAGTTATCTTAAAATTTCAATTTTAAACCACAGACGAGGCGTCTGTAGTTCAAGGGTGGGGGGTTGTTACAACCCACTTTTCAGATTAATTAATAATTATAATTAATTAATCAATTAATAATTTATATAAATTAATGTAATAATAATCCAAGTGTCTACAGGTATGAGTAATACAATTATCTCGATGTAAGATCTTCTGTCTAGAACTTAACATAACCTAAATGATTTATAGCAATAGAATGTACTGTTTCACCTGTAACAGGTTGGAACTGGTTATGTATTTATAGTAACAAAACACGATTTTCTGTCAAAAATATAATATTGATGTTTATTATTATCCAATCAAAACCTAAATACAATTTCAAATATCTGCAAGCTAAGCGTAATTTAAGCCCAAATTATAGCAAATATAAGCAATATTTTGACAGAATGATCAATGTAGCTCTACCTGTATATAAACAAGTGCCGAATTGCAGTCGAGACATTCGGAAATTGGAATCAATCAAAGGCTTACAAAATTACGGAAGTAAACAGAAACAAAATGGACTTAGAAAATATTCGCTACTTTTGGACTTAGGATATTTCAACAATATTTCGGACTTAGAAAATATTAGGCTGCAACTCGGACTTAGGCACTTGGAATCAGGAACAAAGGAACGGAAAATAAAATCATAGGAACACAACACCTGCTGCGTTAGTTGATTAATAGCTGCGACCTGTGAGTACCAGAGACCCACAAGATCCTGGAAACAGCCCTAAGTGATTATCGGTCACGCGTCGCCGGTCTCAGTTGCATGAACCATATGTAATCCGATTCTATTGTGAAATTGATAAGAATGTGTTCATTCTCATACCAAAAGAGAGAATGGTAGTGTAATAAGTTATTGTATGTTATTCCAGTGGCTCAAGCACAAATACCATCATTCTGGAACTTTCGGGCAGAGAAAATTGACAAGTTCACCCAAACAGAAAATATCAAAGGCGAGGTTAAGAGAGAGGTACCAGTGCCAGTGACTACCCCAGATATCCAACCCATGGTTGAAAGCACCGTCCTGGCGGGGGTTCACATAGAGAAAATTTCTCACATGAAATATGTATGAAGTAGATTCTGGACTCTGGGAACTTTACAACAAGAAAACCATTTTGGACAATCCTTGAAATATAAAAACTTCGACAAACGACAAGCAAAATAATTTAGACTATTCGCGGAATATTAGACATTATTCATGACATAATAAGGACTACCGAAAGAACATTATAAACCAATAGAACTCTCTACAATTATATAAACAGGAGGGAAACCAAAACGCACAGAATACCTTTATTGTATAAAAAAAAAAAAAAAAAAAACTATTGATTTAATAAGGAAAGAATTAAATAAAAAAATAAATATTGTTCAAATATGGAGTTAGTTGAATTAATTATGTTGGAGAAAGTTTCTTATTTGCCCTCTTGGTCTTTGACAAGGCGAGTTATATTGAAAAAATTGTTGGTATTGAAAAATATGACCAATATATGTTGCCTTTGTCGAAAAACTTCCCACATATATAATTTAAACAAAATACCTTGTAATCATTATGTCTGTGCAGATTGTAAAATACAATTAGCTCGTCATCCCGATGTCCAAATCCAGAACCTCAAAGCCTGTCCTCAGTGTGTGAATGAATGGAAGAATGATGAGTCAATTTGTTCAATTTGTTTCTGTGAAGTATCTTATAAAGGGGAAACACATTTTTGCCCGGGTTAAGTTGAGCTCTGATCCAGTGTAGTATGATTAATGATCTTTGTGTAAAGTAAGAATGTTCATAAATAGGTGTATACTGTCTATGGGAGATGTGCGGTCCATTGCTTTAAGATATATATAACCATTAACGCTTTATAATTTTGGGTCAGCAGCGCTAGAGGGCTTGAAAGTTAATATCCTCTCGAGGAGATACAGTCCGGTGCACAGAAGAGACCCACTCAAATAGCTAACATTTTAATGCGCATCTCCCTATAGTTTGAGATAAGGACAACAGGTGTAAATAATTAATTGATCGATATGATAAGATGTAAATAATAATCTAATATGATATTATATAATCAATTAATATTATGTGTGTATACAATAATACACTAAAATGAAAATATATCGCATGAAATACACAACTACCTCAAGCACCATAACTGAGATGCTTTGTAAAGGGCATATATTGAAAGTTAAAGACCATCATTTATAGATGGCGTAATAAATTTTAAGATGATAAGTGATAAGTTGAGAAGTTAAGGTTGCAAGATGAGTATGTACAAATGATAATGCATCATGTCACATAGTTGCATGGTATCATTAATAATATTATTATATTATAATCTAATAAAAATTACTAATACAATCAGAAAATAAAATAAAAATACTAATACGTGTGAAATATATAATTATATTAATCTGCAAATGATCTGATCTGATCTGATGCCGATGATCTGTTGATGCCAAGGAGAAGATGGCGACGATGACGATAGATGTCACTGCAATATTCAACTAGCAGCTGATATATGAAATTCACGTTTACCTGGATTTCCGTTTGTGTTATATATGGACGCTCTCCAGTGCAGTATATACTCAACGACATCTATACAATGGGGATAATACATGTGAATATAGAGACACCAGTTATATGTGCCTATTTCACGAACGCTAAGGAGTGAATTTATGAAAACTTGTGAATAAAGAGACACCAACTATTATAGTGCCTATTTCACGAACGCTAAGGAGAATGCAATTGTGAATCTAGAGACGTTAATAAAATGCCTAGATTTACGGATAAATAGAGGATATCCTATGATTTATGAGTGATATGATTTTTATCCACGAATGGATATGATATCTGCACGAGCGAGCGTAGCGAGAGAGTGCAGATTTCAATAACCATGAGTGGATTAAAATCATATCACGAGTAAATCATAGGATGATCTTTTTATTCCATAGTTAAAGTCATCATCAGAATCTTCGGAAATTAAGTCATTTAATTCGAATTTTCCAAACAATCCGGCGATGTTGACACTTAGCCTCGTTTTGAGTCTGAAGTAGCAAAAATCCATAAACCATCGCATACGACGTCGTATGTCATGGCTAAAAAAACGTATGCTATGGTTAAGTGAAAATTTGTCAAAAATATCATATTTTACCACTGATTACAAAAATACCGTTTTTATTTTCACATGTTATCCTATGAATATCATGCTAACTATGGAATAATGCAGAATATTAACAGCCAAGCGAGACTTTATTATTATGATGCAGAATGACATAAATATATAAACGCTGAAGCAGTGATATATAATTGACGTCATTTTTATGTAACAAGTGATATATGAACGCTGAAAGCAGAGTTGATAGCACATATATATCAAGAGACGCTATATAGCGCAGTCATAAGAGATGCTCTACAATACAGCCTAAATGAAGAGGATATGAGACATTTTATATGCCATATCAGACAATTAATTTATATGATAATGACATATTTTAGTGGGGCACTAAAATTTAAGGAGGGGTGGTTGTTACCACTCACTTTTTGACATTAATTAGTCAATTAATTAATTTATTATATCATTTAATATCATTGATATTTATTTTGATATCATTGATATTTATACCAATATTGTAAAGAATCTGATAGTAATTGTTACTATTTTGTATTATGTTGGTTCAACCAGGTAGCAGTCGATGGAGTTAATATTTGATTGACACCTGAGATTGT